AATTTCCAATAAAATGCATAAATTCATGGCCAGCAAAAGGCAACGATTAAAGCAGTTTACCACCGTTGAAGCATTGAAATACAATTTTATTAATTTTCATATTTATAATCCCATTAAACGAAATTGATATTGCTTTTATCTATATCAGCCATTTATTCAACTGTCGTGATAACGACAGTTTTTGGCAATATACATTCTAGTCAGTAGCTTCGTGTCGAGCAAGCAATAAACAAAGCGTTGCACTTCTGTGCAAAGTAATCGACAGACAGACATACATATCTTAAGCACCGCAAAACATTACCAGTAATATCTTAAACAAAATCTACTTTTAGGCTAGCGGCTACCCACTCCAGGTTTGCAGGCACCGCGCATCGCTTAAAACCCTCAAATGAATCCGATAAGCGATGACGCGCCACCCATACTGCGTCCACTATCACCTGCCTTGCAGAAAATCGCCGTCGAGGAGCTGGACGAAGTGCCGAATCGCGTGGCCGACGATGTGCTCGCCCTCCGCAAATGGATAAACAAGCAACCACATTTATGCGCGCGCACTAATGATCAATTTCTCGTTGGCTTTCTGCGCGGTTCCAAGAACAGTTTGGAGAAGGCGAAAAAGAAAATCGATCGTTATTATACGCTGAAAGCAGCCTTGCCAGAGGTATTCAACGAGCAACGGCAGATCGATGATCCTATGGTGTTGGAAATTGTGCGTTTAGGGTATGGCAGATGAATGGTTATGATGAAGCCTTAGTATTTGTAATCAATTGCCTACTTTATTTACAGCGTCATACTACAGATACACCTCCCAGCCGACTATCATGGACCCTGTATTACTATTATACGCGCCTGCTCGTACGACACAACCAAATACAAATTCGCCGATATTATACGGGTCGGTTCGATGTTTGGCGAAATTATGACCATCGAGGATGATAACTCTACGGTCAGCGGTTATATTGAGGTTATGGACATGAGCAATGTAAGCGGTCAGCATTTTCTGCAGTTAAGACCGGATTTGCTGCGCAAATTCGCGGTTTTCGCGGAGGAGGCGATGCCGATGCGTCAACGTGGCACACATTTTATCAATGTGCCGGCGCCCTTCGAGAAGGGCTTCAGAACGTTGAGCACATTGTTTCCAGAGAAAATGTTGAGCAGGGTGAGTGTAAGATTTACTATTTTTTATTTATTCTGCAAGAGCCATTTTTTAATTTTTTTTTTCCAAAAAAATTGTAACCCCCTTTGTTAACAGATTTCCGTCAACTCTAACCCAGAGGCGTTGTTCGACTTTGTGCCGCGCGAGTACCTGCCTCAGGAATATGGTGGCGAAAATGGCACCATAGACGATATTATTGAACGCATGGAAGCGAAATTGCTGCGCTATCGCGACTACTTTTTGTTGGAGCCGAAGTTCGGCACAAATGAAAAGCTGCGTGAGGGGGGGGCTTTTCAACTATGAGAACTGTTTTGGTTTGGAGGGTTCATTCCGTAAATTGGAGGTTGATTAGCTAAAGTATTTATTTATTTAGAACGCAGTAAAATTGTACGGGTATACAAACTCAAAATTTTGTAATTTGGATTTATGTCATTTAAAAATGCATAATTGATAATGGGAACCTGAACGTATCTGAAAACGTTTTTTGAAGTCTCGTGGATACCAGTTATTAATCGTTGTTAGAAAAACAAAAAACCATATATACAAGGAAATTGCAATTAAAATATCAATGTTTGATTTTAAAATATGAAAAAAAGTTCTACATAAAATAATTCAATAACTTTTGAATCAAAATCCTGACTGTATTTGCCGCAGTTTGTTTTTATAAGTATATAAGTTTAAGTTATAAAATTTACATAAATAAATGCATACATATGTACTATACCTAAATAGCAAGTTGTTATTTCAAATGTAAAAACACCTTTTGAGCAAATTTATATTTTACTAGATGGCTCTCACCCCTTTCGCTGAATGTATAAAATTTCATAGTAAATTTTCAAATTTTGTTTACCCCGTTTAAAATATTTTCACACGGAAACACCCTTAGTTAAAATGCAAGTTTATTAAAATTAAAAATTTGTTTACAGAAACTTCCTTAAACCTCTTTCTTGTGATCCATCTTCAATTAATTCATTCCCGCAATTCAAACACAACGTGAATTTTAGAGATGATGCCTTTTCAAAACCATTTCGATTGATATCGATATTTTAATAATTCATTTAACTTTCTAAATAATTTTATTTGTGTTTAGTGTTAAAATAGGTGGCAACCCTCTTCGAACACCTCCGAAAATTATACATGTTCAAACTAAAAATGTCTAAACACTCTTGCGTTTGACACTTTAACTTGTGTATAATTAAATTAAATTTTACTTGTCAAACCCTTTTCAAAATAAACTACAATCTTATTCAGGATTCACTCCCAGTCCTCGCATGTTACAGCACAGGGATAGTTTGTTGAGGGATCTTTGAATCAGATCTGTCAATGTTGAGCGATGTTTACCCGAGATAGCTTTTACAATATCGTCGGCGTATGCAATTATCTGACCGCCAATATCTTCAAGTTCTCGAAGAAGGCTGTCAACTGCTATGTTCCACAGAGGCGGAGATATTACTCCCACTGGGATGTACCCCTGACTGGGAACCTTTTTATTACTGATTCACCGAATGCTGCGCTTATTTCTCGACCGATTAGCATTCGTTCAATAAACGAGGTTAATGAATTGCTTACTACCAGATTTGTCAGGGATGGGATAATCGCTGCACGAGATACAAGGTTGAAAGCATCCTCGAAGAACAAGCCTGCCTTCCTGGACAGCGAGGGTGTATTCTTTGTAATATAGTGATCTTTCGATTGTATGCACTAAAGAATGGGGTGCTGTTTCGACCGATCTCCGGTCAAGCTTTCCTTCGAAATGGTGTTTTAATCATTGAATTAGATGGAGTATTAGAGAAGATATGGCGCTTCATTGGATACAGTGCTTTCAGCTTTTAAACCCCCTTTTTTTAATAAATAAATAAACTTGAACAACGTCTTTCGCAGGTACGTGAGCTCCTCCCCTTCAAAATGAGACATCATTCGATAAATTTTATAAATTATTAGAGATATCGTTGACTAACAGAAAAATGCCCTTTAGAAATAAGTATATAAATATATGTAGATTAGGGCTGTGCGATTAATTGATTATTCAAAATTTTAATTAATCATAAAGTAAATAACTCAATTATTCGATTAATTGAAAATTATGATATTCAAAAGTTCTGTTACTAGAGTAACGAAGATTTTGATTAACCAAAAACGAAAGTATTTGTCAATTTGCTTTATGATTAATCAACATTAGGAGTAAAATGATTTATCAACATTTCAAAGTACTCTTCACATATAAACTAGTAGAAGTCCTTTGATGCTTTGAAAACAACGCGTCGGTTTTCAAATGAAATAAAATAGTTTTTCATATACACATTGTTAGAAAGAAGTTACGCATTTTTCCAGCAAAACTATTTTAACGAGCAAAGTTAATTTTTTGAGTAATCATATTTTAATTAACTCGATTAATCATCGTTTTGAGTAATCAAAAATTAGATTAACCGAATAACTGCTTGCTCGAGTAATCGAATAATCGCACAGCCCTAATGTAGATAGATAAGAGCGAGTGTAACTTAGGGTTACCAGGTGAACATTTGACTTGGTAGGACAATTGTAACACAATAAGAGGACGTTTACTCCAGGTAAGATTCAGAAGGAGGACGCCTGAGGAACAACATATCGTCGCCTGGGTAAAAGATTTTCTTAAGCGTCATACGTTCGTGCGTAACATACGACAATCTTTTATCCAGGCGACGATATGTATTTTGATAAAAACGTTTTAAATAAAAAATATGTACATATACACTGGTTAATTTTAGTGGCATTTTGACAAGTTTGGCTATTTTTATTTATTTTGTACGCAATGTTTATTATTTGTTTTACAAAAAATCTAAGGCATTATATAACAAGCACCATATAAATTCAAACTTTGTAGAAAAATTATTAAAATTCAACAAATTTTAACAATTTCTGTCAAAAATTTGAAACTTTTCGTTCAGAATTTTTATAAATATATTGTTATGCAGTTATAGCCTATTAAATTTGAGTAGGATAAAGTGCGAGTTTCAAGACGCTAGTAAATCGTGTTGATTTTTAATAATTTTTTACAAATAAAAAGATTTACTTTAGAAGCATTATTCGAAAAATACAAAATGCAAAAATGGAGAACATTTCAGTCATAAAGGAGGACATTTAGTTTTTAGGCAAAAGGGAGGACATGTCCTCCTAAAGGAGATCTTTTTCGTTTAGAATGGCTAGGGATTCAAGGTGTTTTAAATCATCTTTCCCAATCTGAATGAAATAAAGGAGTACAAATCTATACTGATACCAACGCTCGTATTTCAGTGTTGTTTTCTTTATTTGATTTCTGTTGCTTTGGGAATACGACTTCTAAACTTTGTATGTATATACCTTCGAATGTCAAGGCAATTCAAGGAACGTGAACGTTTTATTGGAAAAAATTTCAGGCAAGACTTTATTTAGAAACAATGTTCAAATTTCCGTCTAGAGTGCATTTCAATCAAAGGTCCTTTCACAATAAAAACCAATCATGTTCATCCTTTTAGAACTATATAAAATTTTTGTTTTTTGCTCTAGAACATTGTTCAATACGATACGTTGGCCTATGTTTGCCTGTGTTCAGATCTTCCTTCCTGTTGGTGCAAGTTAGCGAAAGGCAACTGTATTTAAACTTGCCTGCTAAAACAGCGAAAATTTGGCAAATTAGTCCAATACAATTAACAAGCTTATCTATCACCGCTGTACATCTTCTATTTCAAACGAAATCTATTGCATGCTGTTGAAACCCTCGATGCACTAATCAATACATCGCTATCAGCAAAGCCAATAAAACTTATTGGTTATCATTTGATAAAACAAGTAAATGATTTCGCACGAATCCTTTGCTGATTTCTTCACCGTTTGCCATTTATTTAGTTCGCTTTCAAGTGCTTTGTTGGGCAGTTCGCGCAAATTTTGACGACGATATCGACAGACAACCCGAACATGTCAGAGCTCAGCGTACGCCCCGTCAACGAACATCTGCAGAAAATTGCCATTGAGCAGTTGAATGAGGTGCCCGAACGCATTGGTGCTGATATTGCGGTGCTACGCACTTGGATAAAACAACAGCCACATTTGCGTGCGCGCGATGATGATCAGTTTTTGATTTCCTTTTTGCGTGGCAGCAAATACAGCTTGGAAAAGGCTAAAAGTAAAATAGATAAATTCTATACGCTGCGCACTAAATATCCAGAATTTTTTGCCGCCTCCAATGCGGATGAAGCAATTGTTAGAGAGATTATTAACGCTGGGTATGACGCAGTTAAGAAAATTTAATTTCTCATATTAAAATATGTATGTGCATATTTGTAGCTTACTGTTGCTGCTGCCTACACCATTGAATGAGCATGGTCCACGCATTATTCTCATACGCCAGGGTCAACTGCCAGCTGAGAAATATAAGTTTGATGAATTTGCACGCGCGATCAGCCATATACAAGAAATCATAATATGCGATGATGATTACGCCATTATATCGGGAATGGTATCGATTATAGATGTCGAGCGCGCTACGCCTGCGCATGTCATGCAGATGACACCGAGCATTATGAAGAAGATGTCCGTACAGGCTGAGGAGGCGGTGCCGTTGCGTCCCAAGCAACAGCATTTCATACATACGCCAAATGGTTTTGAAACATTTTTCAATTTACTTAAACCGATGATGACCAAAAAACAACAGGAAAGAGTAAGATAGGATATGAATTTAAGGTTAGTTCATAACTAAAAAGTTTTTATTTCGCAGATTTCAGTGCACGCCGGAAAGTTGGATAGATTTTACGATCATATACCACTGCGTTATCTACCTGTAGAATATGGTGGCGATAACGGTAGTATAAAAGAGATTATAAACTACACTAATAAACAGTTGGACGATTATCGAGAATACTTTAAGGAGAATGTGAACTATGGCACCGATGAGAGCTTGCGAGTTGGCAAACCCATAGATTTTGAGAGCATGTTCGGTGTGGAGGGTTCTTTCAGAAAATTGGAGGTGGATTAGGTGTTTTGTTGTAGTTGAGAATGCGATTATTTTTATAGAAATGTTTCGTTTTATGTGATGATTTTCATAGAAATTAATACATTTACCCTGGATAACCAAAAAATATGAGTTATTTTCCTGAAAAAAAAGTCGCTGTATTTCAATTTGTGTCAATTCTTAATAGCTATTTCGCACTTCATTTAAGTTGCTTTGCTATTTTTGTAAACAATAAAATTCTTATCAATACCACCCATTTATTTATGCGGTGCTGAAGTCCTCACGTTACCGTCTTCAGTCATCTTATCAGTTCAACGATATGATTAGATCGCGATTAGCAGCAAGAAAAAACTTGCCTAGCACCTGTGCTAGCAAATACAGCGATGGTCAAAAAAACAGATAAAGTAAAATTTTTATTTTTTGCTCAAATTGATTGCGTGAGTGGTACATTCTTAAAAAAAAATAAAAATAATAATAAGTAAATTCGCTTAGCCACCCAAACAAGGAGAAAATGTTAAGTTGTATTATAAGCAATATGAAAAATATCTTACCCGTAATCGGGTGCAAAAACAGCTGCTCTTGGGTCAGGAAACAATTATTATCAAAAAAAAAAAAGGCATCCTAATTCATCATACGACGAATCATACTTATTTAAAGGTTGAGAAAAGACACCATTTTACTCCATTTTTTTTTTTTTGTAAGAGTTTAGATCGAAATGGTTTTAAAATAAGTTATTTTTTAACAAATTAAAAAAACTTCAAATTTTTTAAAGGAAAGGTGTTACCTTACAGGTGGTCCCATATTAATTTGGTTTAAATCCGATCATCGGATCATGAAGAAATTAAAGATAATGTTGAATTTTTATATGAGAATTGAAGTCGGTTTTGTTTTTTGCTTAAAAATTACTTGTTTTGAAAAATCACTTCTTTTTTTGTGAAAATGAAAATTTAAGGGCCAAATTCACAGTGCATAGTTAACTAAGAATCGACAATTAACTACAGGTTTTTGTACTGAAATTCTGTAGTTAACTACCAAGAACTAATTAATTAATTACCAAGAATAGCACCACAAATATTATTTTTTTGCAATAAAACTTTGTAACAAATTTTTAACATTTTTTAGTTTCGGAAATTTTTTTTTATATTTAAATTAATATTTTTTTTAATTTAGATACTGTGAAAGAAACTTAATTTATTTAACAGGATTTTTGAATACATACATATGTAATTCTTTTAACTAATAATTGGTTTTATTTTTTAAAAGTAATTGTTAAGAAACATTAAGGGTATTCTGGAGTCTTGTAAAGCCCTTGCACGGGCGAGAAGACTCCTTTTATTTAAATCACTTATCCTAACGGATATGACCCCTAAAATAAAACCCATCAATTATTCGTTAAAATTGGATTTTTATTTTTGATCGTTACTTTATGATTTTTCTTCTTTGGAACAAGAATAACCGTTATTTTTGGATTTTCAGTTTTTCGATCATACCATTGTCATTATTTTCAGAGTTAATATTTTAGATCACAAAGTATTTAAAGCGATCTCTATTATAACGGCGAAATATGATCGAAAAAATAAAAATCCATAACAAGTATTTGTTTAACAAATTAAAAAAAAAAACTTTTGCAAAATTCCATCTTTTTAAATCAATTAATTTTTGTAAAAATTAACTTGGAAAACAATTGAAAGTAAAAAGTTTCGCTTGAACAGTTTATTACTAATAATAAGTCCATTAATTTTTATTTCCAATAACAATTTTTTAAGAATTTTTTTATAATCTTTTGTTTTGAGAAACTATTTTTGTAAGTCAATATATATATATAAAACATGGGACGATTTTTTTTTTCAATTTATCACTAAGGATAAAGCCAAAAATCTTTATTTCATATATACATTTTTTAAAAAGTGTGTTACGGATTTTGTATAATCTTTTTGTTATTTAAGTATTTTTGAATCAAATTTCAGTAAAAATTTAATTTAAAAAAATGGATTTTATTTTGAAAATCAGATCATCATTCATCATTTTTATTTTTTTCGGTCAAGAATAATAGTTCATTTTCGATTTTTACTTTTTCGATTAATTTTGGATCGATATTTATTATTTTTGTTTTTTTTCGATCATACCATAACCGTTACTTTCAAATTTAATTTGTTAGATCTAAAGTATGCGAAACGGTCAACGTTGTTAAATTACCTCTCTATGTGTGTCTAGGGATACCCCCTCCCTGTCTATAGGGAGTGCTTTTTGATGCAGTAAAAACATCATTTTCGAGTACATACTAGTCTACCCAGCGACGAGTCTTCTAAACGATTCATAACAGGGATGCGTCCTTTAATTATAACAAAAGGATATAGTTTTGAACAACTGAATAATCGAAAAATGTGCATAGAGTAATCGCGTTTGAAACACCCTTTATCAAACGCGCTTAATTATCACCCGATGAAGCACCCAATACTTGTAAGTGCTAAAAAAAGCTTAATAAGTAACACAAATGCATTTTCTCTTAATCAAATAAATGCAATAATAGTTATGCAATACAAACCAAAAAACAAACGCATTTGCACTCATTTTATCTTTTCTAATGATAATAATCGTAAAAATTAATGATACTAATACTAAATTAAACTATCTAACGAGCAGCGTTGGATGGCTGAAGTTCGTAGCAAAAGTCACTTTCCGTTGTACACTCACACACATTTGTACATTGCAATACTATGTTAAGTAAATTGAATAGATATTATTGAGGTCATTTAACGCTTCAGCGCCAGTTTGTGAATTAACGCAGCTCAGTGCTGAAGTAATACACAAAATCAAAGCAACGATAACAACGCTCAAATGTCGCAATTGAATATACGGCCACTACCAGAAAATCTACAAAAAGTGGCAATCGAGGAGCTGCATGAGCGACCGGAGCGCCTACAAGAGGATCTACAGGCGTTGAAGAGTTGGGCCGACAAAGAGCCACATTTGAATGTGCGTCCCGATGATCAGCTTTTGGTAGGATTTCTACGTGGTTGCAAATTCAGCCTAGAAAAGGCCAAGTCAAAGCTCGATTGGTTCTATACATTGAAAACTAAGTATCCTGATTTTTACACTATATCCGATGTGAATGATCCGACTGTACAGGAACGCTTGCGTTATGGGTAAAATATGTGTGCTTTATAAGAAATGTATAAAAACTGAAATTTCTTCAACAGCTCTGGTTCGCTACTACCTACGCCATTGCATGACACTGGTCCACGAATTATGTTTATACGCGCCGGCAGTTATCCACCCGATAAGTATACGTTCAAGGAAATAATGGCAGTAGCGCATGCGCAACAAGAACTATGGATACGCGAAGATGATTATGCGGCTGTAAATGGTTTCATTGATGTCTTGGACGTATCACGTTTAACGGCAGCGCATTTGGCCCAACATACGCCAAATGTTGTTAAGAAGATGTTAGTTTTTGCAGAACAAGCGATACCTTTGCGACAACGTGCCACGCATTTCATTAATATACCAGCAGGCTTCGAAAAGGTATTCAATATGCTTAAACCGCTGATGCCAGCCAAGCAGCAGGAGCGTGTAAGTGTTGAGTGATAATTTCGATGCAGAGAATATTGTATTAAACGGCAATAACATTGTTTTTATTTTCGTCACCCATAGCTTCATTTACATGGCAACAATTTGGAGTCACTGTATGCGCATATACCACAAAAATATTTGCCCAAAGAATATGGTGGTGAAAATGGTTCTATTGAAGAGATTACAGAGCTCTCAGTACAATTCTTCTTGGATAGGCGTGATTACTTTATAGAGGATTATAAATATCGGAATAATGAGAAGTTGCGTGTTGGCAAGCAGCCAGACTTTGATAGTATATTCGGCATGGATGGCACATTTCGAAAGTTGGATGTGGATTAATCGAAAAAAACTATGCCGAGGGGTAGTGGATAGTGGATAGGTTTATGAGAGAATTTTTGGACTTACAAGCATATGTAAATGGTGGAGATACAGATTAATAAAGCAAAGATGAGTGAGTTTGTTTAATTTAAAAAGTTATCAAATATTGACATTTGACTTGTTTGTGCGAGGCCTTTTGCTGCCAGAAATACACTCGTAGTTTTGTAACTGCCTGCCGAGGTGAAAGCTCTATTAGAATAAAACAAACGTGTACGTGGTCGGAACAGTAATTGACACAAGGTCGAACTGGGGAAGCACACACGTCTAACCACTAGGCTAAGGCGGCCGCTAATACTTTTATTCAGCTTTCTTTAAAGTAATATCTTAAATTTTGATTGGTTGATATTTAAAATATTGTAATCAATGAGCATTGAAAAAACTAATAAAATTAATCTTATAATTTGTGCAATTCGAGACCATTTAAAAAAGTACCTGCTCAAAACATCATATTTCGTTTTTTAGATTAGGTATAGAGTTTTATTTGTTTTATGTCATTGTACAGCTCATACGAAACTGTCGTATATTTGTATTTGTAGGTACTAATTTCACACATATGAACATACATATGTATAATAGTACGTTAGCAAAATATTTTATGAAATAGGTACTAGTAATTCAGACATATGTATACATGACAATATAGAAAACTTGTGCGATTTTAAATTAAACTGCAATTTCCTTCCTCAGCCTTTCATTTAAAGACAAACATACTACAAGTAGGTATTAGTAACAATCAGTGCGACATTCATAATCATCTCGCCGCTTTCGCCCTTTACGAGTTCTTCTGCTGAATCTTGACAATCACACTCTTCACCTCGGTGTAGTTCTGCAACGCATATTCACTATTTTCTCGTCCATGGCCGGACATCTTGTAACCACCGAAAGGCATTTGTGCGCCAAAGGCATTGTATGTATTCACCCAGACTGTGCCGGCGCGCAAACCCTGCACGACATAGTTGGCCTTATCAATGTCGCGTGTGAAAACAGCCGCCGCCAAGCCGTAGTCGGAGTTGTTGGCACGCTCAATCACCTCATCCAAAGTCTTGAAGCGAATGAGCTGTTGCACGGGGCCGAAGATCTCTTCCCTCGCGATCGTCATGTGATCGTGCACATCAGCGAATACAGTGGGTTCTACGAAATAGCCGGGCAGATGGTTGGGACGGTTGCCGCCAGCTACTAACTTGGCGCCTTGCTTCTTGCCTTCCTCAATCATGCCGAGAATGCGTTGTAGCTGCTCTTGATCGACTTGTGGGCCCTGTTCGACATGCAATTCGAAGGGGTTGCCAAGCGTACGCTTCTTGGCACGCTCAGCGCTGCGTTCAACAAATTCATCGTAAATTCTATCTTCGACAAAGGTACGCGAACCAGCGCAACAAGTTTGTCCCATGTTGAAAAAGAGCCCAAAGTGTGCGGACTCCACAGCGTAATCCATATCGGTGTCGGCCAAAACAATATTCGGGCTCTTACCGCCTAACTCCAAAGTGACGCGTTTCAAATTGGTGTTGCCGGAGGCTTGCTGTATAAGTTTTCCCACTTCAGTGGAACCGGTAAAGGCGACCTTATCGACATCGTAGTGATTGGCCAACGCGGCGCCAGCGTCGCCGAAGCCAGGCAGCACATTAACTACACCTTCTGGGAAGCCAGCTTCTTTAATCAGTTCAGCTATGTAGAGTGCAGTCAAGCTAGTCTGTTCAGCAGGTTTTAGTACAATGGTGTTGCCAGTAGCTAGTGCTGGTCCCAATTTCCAGGCCAACATGAGAATTGGGAAGTTCCATGGAATGATTTGGGCGCACACGCCAACAGGTTCATGACGTGTGTAAGCAAAGAAATCACCATCCATGGGAATGGTCTTGCCATGATTCTTATCAGCCCAGCCGGCAAAATAGCGTAAATTCTTGATAGCGACAGGTACGTCAACATTGTAGGCGACTGCATAGGGTTTACCGTTGTCCAACGTTTCCAAACTCTAGAAAAGAATGAAGGTGGAGAAATGTGGGCGATGCAATAAAAAAATGTAACTCACGGCCAAATAAACGCGATCACGCTCTATTAGATCAGCCAAACGATTCAAATGAACACCGCGGTCGGAGGCGTCCATGCGGCGCCATGGTGAACCGACTCTGTTAAAGAGAAATTAATATGTATGTTAATAATATTTTTTAACGATAGCGTAAATATAGTATAAAAGCTTACTTGAAAGCGTTGCGTGCGGCCTGCACAGCGATATCAACGTCCTCCTTGCCGGCACACTGGATTTCAGCGACTTGTTTTTCAGTAGTTGGATTAATGGAAGGGAATGTCTTTCCAGTTTTGCTCTTGTGCCATTCGTTGTTAATGAAAAGCTGTATAAAGAGAAATGTGGACAATAGTGAAATGAATAATGATCATTGTCTTATTAATTACCTTATATGATAATAAAACTAGATTTATGTCTTATGTTTTTAAATAAATATCAGACTCCCTGATGAAGACGTGAAGGACGCCGAAACGCGTAGGAGAGAGAAGGAAAAGTAAATTTTGCCTTTTGAATTTACCGGCCGAAAAGCTCCGCATACAACCCAATAACAAAACTAGATTTAGTTAGTGGTTTTAAACTAATATTTCGCACACAAAGTGTTCTTCAGTATGCAAATTAACCTGAACTTGCAGAATTTTTTGACACCGGTTTATTTGAGATTTATTGCGGCAACATTATTGTATTTTGGTAAAGTAATGCTACGTGCTTTAAAATATCTATTAGGCAAGTTTTCTTAAGCCCTCTATAGATTTTATATTTACGCATAGATAGTATCAGCTAATTATAATCAATATATGTACATTTTAAATTACAATAAAATATATTTGACATGAATAATAAATACATAAATAAAAGCATGATTTTTTTTTTAATTAAAGAAGCAGATTGAGAAGAAATAATCTCCGAGCGGCTTTCTGAGGTACCTTCTATGTACATATAGCAAAAGCAGAAGCCCAAGTTGTGCCACTCCATACAAAGTAGAAATAATAAAATAAGGCAGAGTGGAAGGCCTTTCGGAAGAGTTTTAGTAGTACATAGATTGGCGCTTAAAAAATATGTTAGTGTTTGGCCGAGCTACTCCTCCGATTTGTTGTCACACAAAGTGGAGGGACCTCGGAAGAGCTTTTAGCTCCCGAAATTACACTTTCAGTCCCCGTTTTCCAATAGACATAAACTGCAGTGAAAGTTTGGAGGAAATTAACTATAAGATTTCGTTTATTAATATAATTGGCATTCCAATAGAAGGATCAATCTCGCATTTCTCGGACTAGGTCTAGGAAGCGAACCAATAAAAAGGGTCTGTTTAATATTTCTGTTTAAATATTCTTCAATCAAAATTATCCTTACTTGCCTAAAAATTAATTTCCGAGAATTCGCTTTCAAAGACTAAACATTTGTTACAAATTACTTGATTCATGAACAAGCATATCATTGCGGAATTATACCAGGTGAAGTAATTAGAACGAGAAGAAAAATTTTGACACTGCCTTATATGAAAAATTGCCTTTAAAAGTTCTGATCCAGTACTCCATGAACTTACAGGATTTTACACGAACTTGCAGGAAGTTGCAGGAAAAATGTTCCCGTACTCCAAAATCCTCCAAAATTCTGTAAATGAGAGCGACTTTTGGAGAGTTGTGTAGAGAATGAAGTTGCAAGATTTTACCCGAACTTTTTCTTCTGGTAAAATCATGAAAAGTGTCAAGCAATTACTGGTTGACGTTTTTACAGGAAAAATGGATTTTTTGTACCCGTACTTTTTGTTGTTACTCACTTTTGACTCACACTTCAGAGAGTAATTTTGCTGTTTGACAGTTTTACAAGATTTTTCACGAAAAGTATTGGATCAGAGCTATTATTTGACTATAAAGCAGCCGAATGTCAGAAAATAAAGCGAGAAAGCTGTTTTATTACTTCACCTGTTGCAGGCATATAAGCTCCAAATTTTTCTTTAAAGTAATGCTTATTTTGTATGTAAACACACTCGGATCAAGTACGCCATTTGCTCTCTCAACAGCGTTCTCTTTTACTACATTTTAAGTAAAATTTGGCGAGACTCCTGTTCGGGGGAGTGTCATACAGGAGTTTTGAAGAAAAGAACTTGGTAAAAAAAAAACTAACCCCAAACCCATTCCACTGAGCCCCTTGGCAAAGTGGTTAGAGGTGGTGCACTAAAAGTTCCGGTTTCAAAAAATGTGACAATTATACGACATTCCCATGGCACATAATTCGCTCTCCCATTCGTAATTCGCTTTCTAATTACCCCCCTCCGAATTACGTAATTAACTATACAAAATTATGAGCGAATTAACTCCTTTATAGGTAATACAAAACCAATTACCAATTACAAAACAAGAGAGAATGGAAAAAAAAGACAAAGAAAGGGAGTAATTGAAGGGTTAAAAATGAACTGTCAAATCGAATTAAGAATAAGTATTTCAGAAGTGAACAACGTAATTGGCAGTGCCCGTGTGAACTTACTTTAAACCTACTGTTGAATCTGCTGGACCCATAAAAGTTAAATTTTTCCCCTGGCAAGCCTCTTTCAAGTTTTTTTCAACATAAGTGAACTATTTAGTGAATAAATAAACATGTAAAAAATTAAAAAAAAAAAAACAAAATTAAGTTAATTTTTTCTTATTGATATTTTATGTTAAAAAGTAGTTAGTTACAAGTCCTAACTTTTTTCGGCCATCGCCCTTCAAAAGTAGTTAGTCACGAACGAAGAAAATAACCAATTAAAAAGGGCAATTTTAGCTACAAACTAGCTCAATTTCCTGCAGGGCATGTAAATGACCAAGCGCTTTTATATGAAAGCATTAACTCTATCTGCGAGTACTGAACAAATTTCGGAGCCGTACATAGAACATAGCGGTGAATAATAGGTAGATATTAAAAAGCACACACATATAGTTAAGATATTAAAATACAGAATGGTTATTTTTCAAGTAAAAAAAACTTTGTAAAAACATCATTA